AGGCGGAAGGATCGCTGGAGCCCAGCAGGTCAAGGCTGCAGTGGCCGGGAGTGGCCACTGTACTTCAGTCTGGGCGACAGAATGAGACTCCAACTCAAAAAAAAAAAGTCATTCTCCAACCCATGTGAGCTGACGGTCTGAAAATGGAGGGTGACAGAGCCCACTGGGAAGTGATGAGGACTAGGGGACGATGGAGACAGAGCCAGGGTTCACATGTAGGAAGGAGGGGGGGTGGAGCAGCACAGAGCTCCAGGGTGGCCCCAGTGGGATGAAAACACAAGGCCCAGCCAGGCTCGGTGACTCAGCCTGTAGTCCCGTGCCTTTGGGAGGCTGAGGTGAGTGGATTGCCTGAGCCTGCAGGTTCGAGACCCGCCTGGGCAGTGAGACCTCATCTCTACAATAAATCAAAAAAATCAGCCGGGCGTGGTAGTGCATGCCTGTAATTCCGGCTACTTGGAAGGCTGAGGCAGAAGGATTGCCGGAGCCCAGCAGGTCGAGGCTGCGGTGGCCAGGAGCAGCCACTGCACTCCAGTCTGGGCGACAGAGTGAGAATCCAACTCAAAAAAAAAAAAAGAAAAGAAAACGCAAGACCCAAGGGCTTGGAGCAGACCCCAGCTGGGCCAGGTGAGACAGCCTCTGGGTGTCTCCAACCATGTCTGAGGCGACCTTCAGTCATGGGTGCTAGTCCAAGGCGCACAAGAGACAGAAACGGGAAGGTTTCACTTGGGTAGTGCCCTTGAGCCCCATGTCTGCTGTTCACATGCCTGCCAGACAGAAGCCGGCTCAGCTGCACGCCAAGCCAGGAGCATCCCAGCAGCTTCCTGCCTCAGCCTGAGATCAAGACAAGGCCCTGCTGCCGCTCCCACAACTCACTTCTACCAGAGCCGCCCAGCCACCTGGCCCCAGGGACGCTAGAGGTAGGCGGATGAGGACTGAGATGATGAGACGTTACTGGGGGCGGGGGACGCATCAGGGTTGCTTTTCCCAGCCAATCTGTCAGCTGGCCTCCTGTCCCACCCCGCCAGGTGCTGGCAGGGCAGGGGCCACGCGTGAAGCTTCCGAAGCTCTGATGTGGGGAAAGGACTGCCCCAGAACCCAAGACCACCCAGGAGACAACTTACTTATTGAAGAGATGATTGTCCACCTTGATCTTGCTGTAAGCTTTGAAGTCATCCGGCATTAGCATGACAGGGACGGGGACATTGCTCAGCTCATTGACCTGTAAGGCAAGGGGAAGGTGAGGTTCACCTGCCTCAGAGAGACATTATGCTACAATGTGGATGCCACCACCTCTAAGAAAACATGGCCACAGATTCCCTTCCCGGTTTTTATTTCTGTTCTTGTCTTCAAATAAGTTCCCAGCCTCAACTTGTTTCACCCACTGAAATTCTCCCCACCTGGTAAGGTCCAGGTCAAATGGCACCTCCTCCATGAAGTTTTCCAAGATTCTCCAGACCCTAAATACCCGTTCCCATCTTGGAGTTTCTGAAGCATTGCTTGTATTTGCCTGCTGGCCCTCTCTCAGCCTCCTCCATACTGTAGTTAACACCTACAACCCTCAGAGCCTGCTAGATGTAAGCTGGGCGATACCACAGTACCGTTATTCCCAAGCAAAGATTATCAAGCTGATCTCTTGAGGGCCCAGCAGTGCTTGGCACCACTACTTGCCTATGGCAGGCACTCAGTAAGTACTGCCAAACGCACTAATAAGTGGACCAATAGAGAAACGTCCCAGGTCTACGTGGGTATTCATTAAGGCGTTTGAACATCATCATACAAATTGTGGGGCCCTCAAGAAATTAGCTCCAGGCAGAAAAAAAGCTGGATGGGTCTCTGTGGGTGTAGCTTGTATCCCCAAAGTAGAGGATTAACTTTAAAGTGAGCAGAAAGGGAAGAAACCTGGCCGCTGGCCTGCTCTGACCCTCCTGATGAAAGCAGGGCCAGTTCCCTATGCCAAGTCCTGTCTTATGCTACACTGGGGGAGCAGGGCAGGATGCCACGCCCCCCTGCAAACAAGCTCTCGCCTTGTCCTTCATGCCCCTCAGGGAGCTGGAGCCTGCACCAGGAGCTGACTTCCCATGGGTGCAGAGCTGAGGGCAAGTCCTGCCCTGCCCGCCTCCAGTTTAGCCAATTAGCGTCTAATTAACCACAGATGTCCTCGCCCATCACAGCAGAGTATTTGACATTTGACCCTCAACCCAGTTGCCACTAATGCATCCAGGATTTACAGAGGAAACCTTAGTCCCGACTTAATGGACTGGGTGGGAGGGGGCACAGCCTTGTGGCTCCCAGACACTTTGCTTGCAAATCCTATTATCTCAATGAGGCCCCAGGTGGCAGTGTCTGGATAACTTGGAGTCAGCAGGACTCCTCCAGCGGCATAAGTGGGTGAAATGGCATTTAACTTGCTGCACCTTTTTTGTTCCAACCTTTTTTGTTTAGAAATGTCAGAGAATGGAGAAAGTTCAAGTTAATGCAATATCTGGACTGGGAAACCATACCTTCCCAGACCTGGTTAAAAAAAAAAAACCCAGTTGGCCATTGTTTCTGTTAAGCACTGGCCAGGTCATGTAGCTCTTTGAGCTACGGCCACCATGTTTTTCTAAGCTTTGGCCCCCACCCCTTCTCTACTCTGCTTTCTAAAAATCTGTATTTTCCATTCTAAAACAACAATAACAACAACAACAAAATCTCAGTTTAGCCAGGCCCAGTGGCTCACTCCTGTAATCCTAGCACTTTGGGAAGCAGAAGTGAGAGCCCATGCCTGAGCCCGCAGGTTCAAGACCAGCCTGGGCAACTTGGCAAGACCTCGTCTCTACAATAAATAAAAAATTAGCCAGGCATGGTAGCATGTGCCTGTCTTTCCAGATACTTGGAAAGCTGAGGTGGAAGGATCACCTGAGCCCAGCAAGTTGAGGCAGTGGCCATAAGCATGCCACTGCACTCCAGCCTGAGCAACAAAGTGAGACTTCAACTAAAAAAAAAAAAAATCCACCTTTACTCATGGGAAAACCAAGGCAGGTGCTGCAGAAGTGCATGTGTAAGGAGGTGGCTGGGGATAGTATCATAAGTTAGCAGAGGAGCAGAGACTCAATAAACTGCTGGCAAAAACTGACCGGCATAGACACAAGAGTACATCCTGTCTGAGCCCACTAATACGGAATTCTAGAAGGAAATTTACAGTGAGAGAACTCAGACCGGTGGGCTGGGAGGTGGGGTACTGCAGGTAAAGGAACACAAGAGGGTCGGGTGCAGTGGCTTACCCCTATAATCCCAGCACTTTGGGAGGCGGAGGCAAAAGGACTGCCTGAGCCCTTGGGTCCAAGACCAGCCTGGGCAACTTGACGAGACCTCATCTCTACAATAAATCAGGCGTGGTGTTGCACGCCTATAGTCCCAGTTACTTGGAAGGCTGAGGTGGAAGGATCTCCTAAGCCCAGCAGTTCGAGACAGCAGTGGCCATGAGTGTGCCACTGCATTCCAGCCTGGGTGACAGAGTGATACACCAACTCAAAAAAAAGAAAAAAAAAGTGACACGAGAAGTGTGATTCTAGGGTGACAGAAATGTTCTATATGTTGTTTGAGGTGACAGTTACATGGGTAAACACATTTGTTAAAATTCATTGGCTGTGCATAGTGGCTCATGCCTAGAATCCTAGCACTTTGGGAGGCAGAGGTGAGAGGATTACCTAAGCCCACGGGCTCGAGACCAGTCTGGCAACTTGGCAAGACCTCATCTCTACAATAAATCAAAAAATTAGCCAGGCATGGTGGCATGTGCCTGTAGTTCCGGCTACTTGGAAGGCTAAGGCAGAAGGATCGCTTGAGACCAGCAGGTTTAGGTTGTGGTGGCCGGCAGAGTGCCACTGGCCTCCAGCCTGGGTGACAGAATGAGACTCCAACTCAAAAAAAACAAAAAAAAAACCTCATCAAACTGGGCAACCCCTTCGGGTCTCCTCTCACTGTGGGAGCTTTTCTGTCCTCTCAACAAATCCTACTTTCTAAAAAAAAAACTCATCAAACTGTCCACTTAAAATATGTGCATTTTATCGTATGTAAATTACTCCTCAATAAAGTTGACTTTGGAAGTTCCAGCATCCAAGTCTATGAAACCCTTCATTGACTAAACCCTCTCAGTAGCCAAAAAAAAGAAAACAGAAAGAAGTCACACAGGTTCCCACTCTGGGGGCGCTCACAAGAGGGCTCAATTGTCAAATCTGGGCCTACAGAGGAAGCCACTTCACTTCCTTGCTTTCCTTTTTTTTTTTTTTTTTTTTTAGTTGGAGTCTCACTCCATCGCCCAGGCTAGAGTGCAGTAGCACACTCACTGCCACCCCAGCATTGACCTGCCAGGCTCTGGCGACCCTTCCACCTCAGTCTTCCAAGTAGCCAGAATTACAGGTGCATGCTATCATGCCCGGCTAATTTTTTTATTTATTGTAGAGACAAGGTCTCGCCAAGTTGCCTGGGCTAGTCTCAAACCTGCAGGCTCAGGCAATCCACTGGCCTCAGCCTCCCAAAGTGCTGGGATGACAGGTTGAGCCACCAAGTCCGGCCCACTTCCTTGTTTTTCTGCCAACAGAAACAATTCATGGTGGTTGTCCCATTTCCTTTTTCCTGGCATATCAAACCTGGCTCCAAGAGTTAAAGGGAAAACAGAGGCAAAGAGTTCAGGGTACTTATGAAATCCTGTCTTTTCTAGCTCATGCCTCCATGCTATAAAGAACTATTCCCCTGACTCAAAAAGCATGGCTCTATCCCAACACGTCATGGTCGCTGCTACAGATGGATTCCAGGCTAGTCAGGAGCCACACTCACTGCCATGGCCAGGGCTTGATACCGGGAAACTCTAAAGATGAGACATTCGCTGGAGATAGTTCAATGGCCCCAAACCAGGATGAATTATCCCAGCAGGAGTTACTCAGGAATGCTCCTTGCATACATTCTCGGTGTAACTCTTCTTTTTTTTTTTTGAGTTGGAGTTTCACTTTGCCCAGGCTGGAGTGCAGTGGCACACTCCCAGTCACTGCAGCCTCGACCCACTGGGCACAGGCGATCCTTCCGCCTCAGCCTTCCAAGTAGCTGAAATCATAGCCATGCACCACCACACCTGGCTAGTTTTTTTGATTTATTGTAGAAACGAGGTCTCGCCAAACTGCCCAGGCTAGTCTCAAACCCCTGGACGCAGGCAATCCTCTCGCCTCGACCTCCCAAAATGCTGGGATTACAGGCGTGAGCCGCCACACCCAGCATTTTCAGTATAACTCGGTGCAGTAGAGTTTAACAGCTGTGAAGTGGTCAGCTTTCAGTTCCTACTCCATCTCTGTTCTTTATGCCACATCCCACATCCCAAAAGCAGGAAGTGTTTGTTTAAGTCAGGTAACACCATGAACGACCCTACATCTAGCTAGAGACACTCACCCTTCATTCCCACTGGGCCACATGTACATGATTCACTCGGGATTAGCTGTACTGTTTTTTTTTGTTTTTTGTTTTTAGAGTTCTGTTTCATTTCAAGTGAACAGCACCTACTGAAATATGCACTCCATGCTTCACTCTATTAGATGAGCAGGGGAGGAAAGGGAGGAGGGGAGGCAAGTGCACACACAAAAGGGACAGGGAGGTGAGGAACCCTTGACATGGCAAAACTCGAGGTCAAAGCAGCATATGGCTAAGTGAAAATACAGACACATTAGGTTGGGCGCAGTGGCTCCTGCCTATAATCCCAGCACTTTGGGAGGCTGAGTTGAGAGGACTGCCTGAGCCCACAGGTTCGAGACCAGCCTGGGCAACTTGGCAGGACCTCAACTCTACAATAAATCAAAAAACTAGCTGGGCATGATGGCGCATGCCTATAGTTCCAGCTACGTGGAAGATTGAGTCGGAAGGATCGCCAAAGCCCAGCAGGTCGAGGCTGCGGTGGCCGGGAGCGTGACACTGCACTCCAGTTGAGGCGACAGAGTAAGACTCCAACTCAAAAAAAAAAGAAAATACAGACACAGACACCAAGAACAGCAGAGGCTTGAGGGAGAATGAGGTCAGTATGGCCAGGGAGTCCCACCCCAAACCTTATATCAGGCTAGAAACATTGCACCTATCACTTCTCCTGGTATTGCCAAGAGCACTTGACAATGGAAGAATCTACAAGATCATGTTATTATACTCCTGCATAGACTACTCCATGGCTCCTCACAAACTTCAGAGTAGTTTGTTTTTTTT